CCCCCTTTCCGCGCGCGAGCCCCGCGAGATCCCCGTACCTCTGCGCTTCTCTCCTGCAGCTTCTGCGGGTCTCAGTGTGCCTTTCCTTCCTTCTAGTTGTAGAGTTTACAGTCAGCCAGGCTTCCTATGGTTCTGGATGAAGTCCGTATTGTTTCTCTGAGGTATTAATCAATTGTTGTGAGCGGCCTTAATTTCCCGGTGTTTATCTCTGCCGCCATCTTAGTTTCTCAAAAACAATTTTTTTAATCCATAGAAAGTTTGGAAGATAAAGTTGAGAAATCTTACAGCAAGTTGGAGAAAAGATAAAGTGGTGGACATGAGGGGAGGCAAGGTAAAGAAAACTTGAATATGAATCCAAAAGATCCAATATCTAATTAATAGGAAATCGGGAAAAGAATAGAGAAAGTATAGAGGAGGAAATTATCAAAGAAATAATACAAAAAAAAACTTCCAAGAACTGAAGGACAGTTTGAAAAGGCCAATAGTTTTTAACCCAATAAAAACTAGGCCAGGATGAAATTTAAGACCAAAAAACGAAGAAGAAAAGATTCTATAAGAATAACATTTGACTTGCCAACAACAACACTGCAGGCTGGAAGACAAAGCAGCAATGCCTTCAAAATGCTAAAAGTGTTGCCTATCTAGAATTCTGTATCCAATCAAATTATTGATCAAGTGTACAATAAGAATAATTTCAGACATCCAGAGTCTCAAAATAATTCACCTCCTATTCATCCTCCTTCAGGAAGTTACTAGAAAACAATGTTCCACCCAAACAGGAGAGTGAAAGAGAGAGTTGAAGGCCCAGGATCCGGGAATGGAATGAGAGGGAAGGGAATCGTCGGGCCTGGGGAGCAAGTAGTCCAGACTGGAGCTGAAGCTCAAAGGAGCATGATGGAAATTATGTCATCTGATCGATTTCACCATGAGGAAAATTTTACTTAGAGGCTGTTGGAAAGTGAGAAAAGGCCTACAAAGAGAAACTTAAAAAGCAAAGCAAAAAGAAGGAATTCTTACCATTTGCAACAGCATGGATGGAACTGGAGAGCATTATGCTAAGTGAAATAAGCCAGTCAATGAAAGAAAAATACCACATGATCTCATTCATTTATGGATAATAGAGACCATTATAAACTTTTGAACAATAATAGATACAGAGGCAGAGCTGCCGCCGGGGGAAGATCAAGGGAGGGGGGGCGGAAGAGGAGACATATGTAATACTCTTTGTAATACTTTAAGCAATAAAACAAAATTTAAAAAAAATAAAAGCAAAGCAAATGGGCAGGGAGGTGATTAATTCTAGGAGAAACAAAAATTTATTCAAGAATTTAATCAGAGGATATTACTCAACTCATCAAAAGTATATTATGAGCAAAGCAATTTGAACACTGAATATTGATTTAACCAGAAATTGTGACATTGGGGAAATGGGAGAGAGCTTGATTCTCATCTAGTACAATAGGAAATCAATAAGGAATGTATAAAATTGATTAATCACCCCTGACTGGTTTGGCTCAGTGGATAGAGCATCGGCCTCCGGACTGAAGGGTCCCAGGTTCAATTCTAGTCAAGGGCATATACCTTGGTTTCAGGCACATCCCCAGTAGGGAGTGTGCAGGAGACAGCTGATCGATGTTTCTCGCTCATCGATGTTTCTAACTCTATTCCTCACCCTTCTTCTCTGTAAAAAATCAATAAAATATATATTTTTTTAAAAAATTGATTAATAAAAGATAGTAGTATAAGCCTTTAATTTAGAAATAAGAGGATAAGAAACAGTTATAAGTTAAAAGGGTGGTGGGCTGGGACAAAGGATGAGAACAGAGAAGTGAATGAACAGCTTCCTTCATCTAAAAGCCTTTCAGTACGATTCAATTCTTAAACTATGTGTCTGTCCTCTTTTTGTTTTTCTAATTAAGAAAAAAAGCACTCCCTGAAGTCACATAGATTTGAATTTGAATCTTGGAGAAACTATGTTGCGACCAGTGTGATCTCGGCAAATTCTTTTAATCCTCTCAGGTTTAATTTCCTCAATTGTTATTTGAAGGAAATGCTTTCCTACCTCTCACTTTTTGATAGGGTTCTTTAGAAACTTAGGTAATTGCCTGACACCTAGTAAAGCCCTCAGTGAAAGTGTTCTGCTACTCTAATTACCTGGGGCCCTACCTTCCTCTCTGGCTACCCTGACCTCTCACCCTCCATCGGTCATTAAATCCCATGAGGATGTAAGCCCCCGGGTGTGTTTGCACGTTGCAGCTCACCCCTAATGTGGAGTAGAAGGTTTGATCCTTTTAAAGAAAACTGAGCCAGGTGACCCTTGACTTCACATACAGCTCGTTCTTTTGAGGAGTGGCTTTGGTGATGTGAAAACACCATGTCTCCTCTGGGAAGGAGAACTCGAGTCGCAGCCAGTGCACTCAGCCATCTCGCTCTTAGGTGAGAACCCGCCATCTCTGAAGGCTCCAGGATCTTGAGGTTTGTGTCCACAAACATTTCCAGCCTAGAGCCTTAATCCCTCCTGTTGACGTAATAAAATCCTCAGATTATGATGGAAACTGAGCCCACGGTATTGTGACTATGCCCCAGCTACCTGCCACCGCAAGTGACAGCTGCACCTGTGAGTGAGGCTGGCCCACTTCCCACACTCCCAGGGCACCTGCAGCCTCCTGCGCCCTCCGCCCTGCCCTGTGCTGGTGTCCCAGCTACTAACTGCTGAACAGGGAAGTCGAGGGTTTTCTGGTGGAGCTATTTCCTCTTTTCCTTCAGGGGTTGCATTATATGCAAAGCACAGGTCCAGCTACTGTGGATGATATAGAAATACATTTGTCCTCAAAGACATTTACAATGTAATGGGGTGGTCTCAAAGGTGTTTACAATCTATTGGGGGAGATAGATGTTCACCACCCATTAGATAAGGAAATAAACTAAGATTGTGGGCTGCAGATGGAATAAGTAAGGTCTTGAGTTTACATGTTAGACGGCTACTTTGGAGCTTCTCACACGGGCCTGGGAGCAGGTAAACCCCAGGTCAGGGGGTTATTTTTAAGCAAAAGAAAGTAGTCTTCCAATATCTGTGACCTTTTATTCCTGGAGTGGCAGTGAGGCACAGCAGTGGTGGAGCATGAGGGTGGTCTCTGAAAAGCCGACAGTTCTAACCGAGAACAGTGGCTATGGACAGACAGGATGCCACAAAATTCATTATCCCAATGGGGACACTTGAGAGTGAAAGGAGTATAACAAGCACATCTGGACAACAGCATACAGCGAGACAGGCCTTGGTAAACGGTGGTCTCCCTACTTACAGGTACTTAGTCATTATAAAAGGGAATAGATTCGGTGACCTCTGGGCCTAGGGTTCATGCAGGTTCAAACGGCTTTTCAGGTAACTCACCATTAGATTGTAAATGCTTCTGAGACCAAATATACTTCTGTATCATCTGCAGTACCTGGCACAGTTCTCTATACATTTCCTCCTCAGTAAGGTTGCTCCGGCGGCCCAGTTTTTACCAGTGGCCAGCAGCTGTCTACCTCTCTGGTTAGGATTCCTGAAAGAGCTTCCCCACCTGAGTTCTGACCAAGAAGCTACCTAAAAAGTAAATGCATATATGCTGCTCCCCAGGTCCCTTGGCTCCTCCCGCATGGAAACCAATTCAAGTTTTGCTTTGGTTTGGAGTATACGTGCCCTATCCACACCCTCGCCTTTATCAGAAAACTGCCTCTCTCTTCAAACAGTTCTTTTCCAAGAGGAACCCTTATTCCTTAGTCACTTCACAGTAATTCCACAGAGAAGGGAAGGATATATACTCTTTATAGCATATGCTCTTCGAAGCAAAATGCTGTTCGATCAAAGAAATTAAAACTTGATGTTTGAAGCGAGTCCTCATTACCTAGCACTTTTACCCCATTCTATTCGGTTTTCCGTTAGAGTAGAAATCATAGAGTAACACGTTAAAATTATACTTATTATTTACCTGCCTCTCCCACAAGGCTGTGATCTCCTTGAGAACATCAATTGCCTTATTAATATAAAATATAATTATAAACACCATAGGTTTGACATATTTGCAGGAGCCTCGTAAATGATATGGCCAAGTGGTATGCACCCCAGTCTTAACTCCTCCTCTCTTGCTGGCACAAACTGTCCTTTACATTTTACATTCAAAACAGCTTTTCCTTTTGTGATTTTTATTTATAGCAAAGCATACTCCTCCCAGGCCATGGAGGCAACTGGGAGCCAGCTTTCTCCTACTCTTCCCCTTGCCGTCCCTGTGGGGCAGTGTCATTGTCTCGGCCTGTGACCGCTGGTCCATCTGCTAAATGAGGGCATGATCAAGATCATTCTCTCCAGGCCCCTCCGGCTCTAATAGTACTGCTCTTTAATGGCTCTGTGGAAAATGACCTTTCTCCTTGGACTGTGTTCCCAGCTTTCTTCCTTGTCCAGTGAAAATCGTTGCTTCAGATTGTTCTAGTCTCTGACAGATCTCCTTTCTGGCAATTCCCTGAGATTCAGCCCCATCAAGGAAACAATCAATACATTGTTTTAGCTTCAGATTGGATGTGGATTAAATGTTGGCATCACTGAGTTCTGTCAAATTGTCTCAGCTTGCCTCTTAAAAATCAAAATGGGAAAACCCAAGTCTTTTGGTTATTAAAGCAGAGGACTAGCTGCTGGCCCAGACTGCGTGTGTTGGGGGAAAGGAGGGGCTACGTGCATGCGTGACAGAGAATGTGTGCACTGAGGTGGATTCATAACCAACATAAGTACTGTATGTGGAACCATAAAGCCAGTTATTAATATGTGAGTGCAGTCTCCAGAGATGTTTCAATTTGGTCTCCTCCTCCTCCTCCAACAGAAACCAAACGACCGTGATCACAAAGTGAGAGTAGCCTTGGGAAATGGCTTGCGAGGAGATGTGTGGAGAGAATTCATCAAGAGATTTGGGGACATTCACATTTATGAGTTCTATGCTTCCACTGAAGGCAATATCGGCTTTGTGAATTATACGGGGAAAATTGGCGCTGTTGGAAGAGCAAACTACCTACAGAGAGTAAGTACATTGAAAAATGAGAGCATATATAGCCAGTTTTCAGAATACAGAGAGTTCTTAAAAGCTATGTCAGGATGATGTTATTATGAGAATTTCATAAAGCTTCAGAACTGCAGTCCATATATCACCAAGAGAGGTTTTGGTCAGCCTCTGTAACAAGAACCTCAGAAAGATAGGGTGCTGTAATTTAAAAATCTTAATGTCTGTGAATAACAACCCATTAGGCCTTTGCCATCTGCAATTCAGGTAAAGTTTCCCTATGTCATTTACATGTGTATATGATAAAACACCTGAAAGTTACCAGTTCCGTAAGTTTCCCATAGTCTGTGAAATGGTGAAATGTGGTATTTCCCTTCCATTGTGCTGTGGGTTACTACCATCTGGGGAACTTTCTACACACACAGGGGCAGGGCCTCAGCCCCTAAGCTTTGGATGCAGGCGTCTTGAGGCGGGGCCCAGGCATTAGTGTTTTTTGAAAACTCTGCAGCCAGAGTTAAGCATTATCTTATAAAGATTTGTGTTCTCACAGACAACAGGGGGATGAAAGCATGAGTGTCGGGGGAAGTTGGGGGTTAATGGGGGGATGAGGACACATTTGTAATACCTTAACCAATAAAGAAATTAAAGATTAAGAAAAAGATTTGTGTTCTAGTAACTGCATTAAAAATATATATCTTATTAATTGAGATGTAATTGACATATAACATTATATTAGTTTCAGGGGTACAACATAATGATTCAACATTTGTATATATTGCAAAATGATCACCACAATAAGTCCAGTTAATATCCCATCACCTCACATAGTTACCTTTTTTTTTTCTTGTGATAAGAACTTTTTTAATCCTCACCTGAGGATATATTTTCCATTGCTTTTTCAGAGTGGAAGGAGGGATGAAGTGGAGGGAGAGAGAGAGAGAAACATCAATGTGAGAGAGCCACCTCCACTAGGGGTGGGGAGCAAACCTGAAACCCAGGTACTTGCCCTTGACTGGGAGTCAAACCCACGACCCTTCAGTGAGCAAGCCATACTCTAACCACTGAAACACCGGCCAGACTGTCATAAGAACTTTTAAGATCTACTCTCTTACCAACTTTTAAATATGCAACACACTATTATTAGCTACTAGTGCCCCAGTGCATGGATTCATGCACATTGAAAGGAAATTCATTAGAAGGTGGCAGGCGGGGTGGGACTGGGCGAGAGGGGCAGGACATGCCCTGGAGCCAATCTCCCTCAGTCCCTCCGCAGCTGGCCACACCTGGGGTGACACCACAGCTCAAAGGGCATCTTTGGAGTGAGTGGGTCCCTCCAGCAGGTGGGGTTCCTTGGCCTGGCCTGCGGGGATCGAGCCGAAACCGGCTCTCTGACGTTCCCCGAGGGGTCCCGGATTGGGAGAGGATGGTCATCATAGCTACCTGTTGGATAGTCGAATGGTCAGACTGTCACTTAGGCTTTTACTAGTATAGAGAGAGAGGGGCCTGGTGCATAAATTAGTGCACAAGTAGGGTTCGGCCAGCCCAACCCGATCAGGGCTGATCAGGCGGGGCTGGCTGGGGGGAGGGGCCATGGGCAGTTGGCTGGCCAGCCCCGCCCCCTGGTTGAACTCCTGGTTGAACTCCTGGTCAAACTCCTGGTCGAGGGGACAATTTGCATATTAGCCTTTTATTATATAGGATAGATCAGCTGTGGGCAAACTACGGCCCGCGGGCCAGATCCCACCTGTTTGAAATGAATAAAACTAAAAAAGCAAAAGACCGTACCCTTTTATGTAATGACTAGAGGCCCGGTGCCCAAAAATTTGTGGACTCAGGGGGAGGGGGGGG